GAGAGAGAGAGAGAGAGAGAGAGAGAGAGAGAGAGAGAGAGAGAGAGAGAGAGAGAGAAAGCTCGAGAGTGAGAGATTATTCACTTCCGGATCGTGGAATTTGCACCGCGCTCGATTTTCGAGGTCAATAAATATTGATGGTCCTGATTGAGTTTTGCGTGTGAGGTAGACTGCGAGAGAACGCGCGCGCGCGCTATTAATACCGCGCTATAATACGCATAAAATGGCCGGGCTCTTTCAGAACGCTTCTCCCGATATACTGCCGATGGTAATTCATATTCATCAACATCAATTTGCTATATACAAAAATGGACGTGTACGGATTGTACGCGATGCGGCGCGAACGTGATATACACAAAAGGGCCGTTAATGCATCTATATCACGGAAGAGATGCTGTCATTAAAGCTTAATAGATTCAGCGGAGCAAAATCAATTCCCGAAATCATACACGCCGCGTCTGTGATGCACAATGTCTTTAATCTCGTTCGCTACTTATGAACGGAAATTGACGCGGCGACCGGCGTAAGGGCGCGTCAAGGGGCAAAATCCTACGCGTTTCGAGCGCGAATTATTCGAAGATATCATTTCCCTCTTTCTCGACATTCTCACACTCCATTAGCGAAATTGCAGTCGCGTCGAAAGATTTATGATTAGCCAGGATGAAAGCTTTTGGAAGGTTCAAGCGCCTCTTTCTCGAAACACGCTCTTTCCCCCGATGTTCCTATTTCGAACGTTTGATCAGGGATAAATGGCAAATGCGCTGATTTTTTACACGGCCGCATTAGAATCTTTTACTTCAAATTATTTCATAAATGTGTGGGGAACGCTAACGATCATCTTTCGCGCGCGCAGTGAAATTACGCAACGTGCACGGACCACGAATTATGCGTCACGACGATATTTCGACGTCGGCAGGAAGTAATACCGAGACGAGGGTACACGCGATAATGCGCGTCTGGACTTTATACCTCTGAGAAACCGCGACACACCTGCTACGGAAGCACGATTTAACCGCGTCCAGCGCGCGGGCTGGAGGTCTCGCATCGTCCCTGGTACTAAAAGGCGGTCTCGAGTGGACAAGAGCAAAACGCGTGCGTACGTGTACCACGTCTAGCGGCTTCAAATCTGATTTATTCGCGGCCGCCTTGTCTCGAGAGCCCGGAGACTGTACTCGGAGAAAGTGGGCGTGAGAGGGAAACAGCGCGAGAATCCAACGAAACACTCGCGAGGGAGAAACAGAGAAAGAGGGAGAGGGAGAGAGCGAGAGAGAGAAAGAGGGAGATAGAGAGAGAGAGAGAAAGAGCAAAGAGAGAAATAGGAGCGAGCGAAGCGGATAGGAGAGAAGGTACATGTGAAATGCATGAAATATATTTAACCGTTATATATTATCATTAGAGAGGCCGTATCGTATCGGAATCTGAGAAGCGTTATCTCTTGGATCTCCTTGCTTAGAAAGTTAACTCTGACTCTCCGTTATTCAACGTCAAATATTGCCGATACATAATCAGGATACAGGATAACCCGAATTTATGCTCAAGTCATCTTTTATCTACGGATCATTACCCGCTTAATTTGAAGTCAATGTTCTTTTGACGAAAATTATCGAGGAACATCATTACTTGCCACGAATTTCTTTTTTCCGCTCCAAGTATTCCGATAATTAATTCTAAAAATTTTCAAGATCCTATTGATCGATCTACTAAAATTTGTCACCTGTCCTAGTAAAGTTCGTTTCAAAATTTTTTGCACATCTACGACAGTTTCGAGGAGTTTTCAGTTCGCAATCGATCGTGTCCTGAAAGCTATCGGTGCTTCGACATTTTTGCCGGCGAAGATCTACCTCGTCTTCGTAAATTCTCCAAAAACATCGCGGGTGGAAAGTAACACGATAGATCTATGTATCTTTTCTCGTGTATCGGAAAATCGACCTCCGGCGGCGTTTCTCAACGTCAGGGCGGCTAACGACCGCGTTTTACTTCAGCCCTATTGATTGCCGAGCAAACGTTTGCCAAGTTAAAAGATCGCTAAGACCTCTCCCCTTGGACACCTCGAATTCTCTGTTGTCTTGCTTGGCCTCGTGTCGAGCCCTCGCAGACAAACGCTAGTTAAAACTCGCACGAACATATACAAACAAACAAACAGACGCGAAACATCCGTTGCACGAAGAAGAGCAAAACGATCGATTTCGCGTCCGTCCCGCTCTTGCAAATTTACGTCGATCTGTCAGTGTCATCTGAGGAGGCCGAGGAACGCTGCAATTTGCGTGAAGATCGTAAAAATGCTCGAGCTTGCTCGGCGAGTTGTCAGTAATACGGTTAAATAAATTTGGGTGGTCGCGTCGAAGCGGATCGCGCGGCGTCCTTCGCGCGCATCCTCAGACACTCGTTCGTTCGGGAGATAAATTGGCTGCGCCGGCACATTCGGCCCCTAAGGGCGGCTATTAGGAATTCGAGGCAAGTGGATTTCGGTCGCGAGACGGGCGTCCGTTTTGCACGGCTTAAACGCTTCTTCCATGTGCTCATCTAAAATTGGAACGCGCAGCGTTTCGAGAGAGGCGAACGAGCGCGCATGTTTCGCCCAATCGAAAGTAATACCATATTTCGCGCCGAACTGCACATTTCGCGACCGAGCGAACGTCATCGGAAACCGAGCCGATATTCCTCGTCACGCAGCTGTTCCACGAGGAAATCCTCGAGGAAACGAGCGAAAACGAGCTTCTTCTAGCTCGATAATGTGCGAGCATGCGGAAAAACAATTACAGCGATTATAAAATTAACAGAACGCGCAGAATAACGAGATGATAATAATTAAATATAAGAAAGGAAGATAAAAAATGCGTTCGCGCAATGCCAGACGCCATTCACAGCAACCGTGATTTCTTTTAATTGCAAGTTCAAAGCGCGGAACCGCTTGACATTCGCCGCATTTAAACGATTGCTAGCGACAGAGCGCGAAGATTAATGAACCTCGATTGCGTGAACGATCACACGGCCTCGTTAAGGATTTTATACGAATGCGCCACGGCGAAGTCTAGAATATAGTTGTAAGAACATTAGCGTCATGAGATCTCGTCATTTTGACAACCGCAATGCTCTTTCATATCGCTCATAATTCCATCAGTATTTTCACCGAAATCCCGCGAGAGAAAGAAAAATGGGAATTCTCTAGTTTTTAATAAATTAGAGTTACGTGTCGTTCCCCCAACCTCGGCGCGAAAATCACGCCGCTGTCATCCGTCTAAATGACGGGTCATGGTCCTGTCAGCTAGACCATCAAGGTCGGCGACGTTGGAGGAACTCGGAATCTTAATCGCGTTACCAGAGAAGCAGAAAAGAGTCAAGTAAAGAAGACGTGACGTTGCGTCGCGCGTCGTTTTACCGGCACGGCGGACCGCTCGACTGTAAATGGCACAAAACTCGTCCCCGAAAAGGCTTCCCCTCCTTCTCTCGCGACTTCTGTTTTAATTTATTTATTCTTCGCTCGCTCGATCATCGCGCGTCGACCGTCGTACTCATAGAGATATCACACGCGTTCGTTGAATGTAGATTTTCTTGTACATTTTCTATATAAATTATTAAGATCCTTTTCTAGCTGGTATGTTATTACGTAGTGAACAGAGAAGGTGGAGGAGGAGATGAAGAAGAAAGAGGTGGTGATGGAGGAGGTAGAGGTGGAGGAAGAGGAGGAGAGGAGAAGGTGGAGGAAGAGAGAACGGTAGAGGCTAAGCACTGACACGTGTCGCGATGTGAGTCGCGGGGCTTATCGATCAATGGTGACACTCTCCCGGATCGTTTGCGTCACGGGTTCTACAGGCGTGTCAGTTCAGCACCGTGATTTGCCTTCAGCATCGGCCTTCGAAACGAAGTGTCGTCGTTGCCGTAATAAACGGACGCGCTCTCGGGCAAGCCGGGCGGTCATCGACGCGATTAACTTCGCGCGATCAACGATATGCCACCATTTCACTACATTCACCGACGTGCAACTTCCCAGACAGCACAAACCACTAAATGATGTCTTAAAGACGTCCAAAGAAACTTAAGGACGTCCCACTTAAAGACGTCTAAAAGAAATAATACGTGATTTTTGGGCACCATCTCGCTATCAATTTTCTATTTTAAAGCTGCAATTTTTTTTACTTTTACTTCATTAAATATACTCATATAATGTAGTTTTAACAAAAAAAAAAAATAAAAAATTATATGTTTGGCGCCAAAGGGACAGAGCCGGCACATTGATGTCCCACTGAGGTTTTTGGAAGGCCATGTTTGTTTCAACGATAGCTAATGTGTGTTCTAATTGCCAAAAAAGCTTATTCAATTGATTGAATGCTTAATCAGTTGAAGGTTATTATTAATGTTGGGAAAAACCTTATATCCTATTGGTAGCAAAAGGGTTAAAACATCTAGTAATTTGCGCTGTCTGAGTCTCACGGTCCAGCACTCCGTTATTATCGCGATGTACCTGATATCGATTGATTAATTTTAATTATTAATTGAGACGTTGCACCACGGTCATCGTTTGCTCCCCCTCAACGAACTCTTCGATATCGATTTGGTGTCGAATTCAGTGCTTTTTGCTTCCACGTTGCCGCCGCCACCGAGCGAAAATCACGCCGCCGAACTGACACGTCGCTGACGCGCGCGAATCGATCTTTCCTCGTCGCACGACGACGTGATCGAACATTCATCGACGACTCAGCCGCGATCGCGAAGAGCCCACCACCCATTACGTACCGCCTGATCCTTCGCGGACTCCCGATATCACATAAGCGCGCGAAAAAAACCCGCGACTATTCTTCCAGAGTTTAAGTCTGTCTCGCGACAAAACCCGACGACGAACAAGCGTATTATTTAGCGATAACCAAGTCAACTCTAGAATTGTTCGTCTATAACCACGTGAGCTTCGTGGGCTCGGGTGAAAAAAATTCCCCAAGACTTATTTGAAAGAAATGGGCGCTGCGGCGACATTCCCGCGGCCTGTT